TGACCATGGTGGCCATTTAGAAGTCGGCCATCTTGGATACAACTTTTGTTTTTTCAATAGGAAGAGGGCCATGTGACACATCAAACTTATTGGTAAAGTCACAAGAAAAACAATGGTGTGCTTGGTTTTAAAGTAACTTTATTCTTTCATGAGTTATTTACACGTTTCTGACCACTTATAAAATGTGTTCAATGTGCTGCCCATTGTGTTGGATTGTCAATGCAATCACTAACCATTCCAATTTTATTACGGTGTATCCATATAAATGGCCCACCCTGTACAATAACAGGAGTGTTGAAATAAAACATAAAATAATCTCAATAAAGGGAAATTCTCTCTTGCAATTAGGACAGGAGCAGTGAAATGTGACAGATCTTTGTCCAACCCTTTTGCCATATAAAGTGGGGTCAAACAAGGATGTTTGCTGGCTCCAACATTTTTTAGCTTATATTCTTTTGCCTACTTCTACATGACACATTCGAAGAGAGCATCACACAAGAAACAATGGGAAACTTTTCATCACTGAACATTGGAAGAAAAAGACCAAAGCATGAGAAGTTCTGATCCAAGATCTAGAATTTGCTGATGATGCAACACTCATTTCCCGCCCGGGAAAGCACTACACTGCTTGACAAGTTCGCAGCTGCTTGTGATGACTTCAAGCTGAACATCAGATTAAAGAAAACCCAAATCTTGTGCCAAAGAACATCTGCTGTCTCAAAGCTTCTAATCAACAGCTATGCACTGGATGCTGTTCCACATTTTGCTTCCCTTTGCTACACAACTACCACAAACAAGTCCATGAAAATAGGAATTTGCAAAAGGACTGGCCTAGCTGCCACCAACATGTTCAGCATGTTTCTCCAAGAACTGAGAGGTCACTAATATGCTCATGCTTGCCAGAACAGTGATACCTACTACCAACTATGTACACTATCCTCAAAAAATCAGACATTTGGACTTGAACATGTCAGAAAAATGGACAATGGACGCATCCCAAAAGACCTTGTAAGAAGGCAAGCACCCCTTTGGATGTGTGTAAAAGAGACATGAAGAGGAGTGGCATGGCCACTGGCCGTTGGGAGGAAGTTGCCTTGGACCATTGAAGGCAGAAGTTGAGTGACCTCTTAAACAAAATAAAGAGAGGATAGCTGCAACATCCCATCAGAAAAGACACCAGCAAAGAGAGGCTGTCAGACCATAAGCCACTCCCATAATTGGATTCATCTGCAACAGAGTGTGCCTTTTAAGAATTAGACTTGCTGGCTGCTTTAGAACGTGTTCCACAACTTCATGGCACTAAACATGAACTTTTCTCTGATATTTGACTACAATATGAATTTGTTTGCTTTCTGACAAACTACCGGCTTAGAGACACAGCAATGCCATGAAACCTCTCAGAATATGAGACTTGCCATACCATTAATTAAACCTTTCACCTTGTACCTAGTTGTTACTAGAGCAAAGTTACCCATTAAAATGTTTTTTTCTGATATGAGTTATCTTTTTCTTTGTTGGAAAGAAAGCCTCACTGTGTGGTCAGAAGAAGTGCTACCCCTTTGAAAGTTTCACAAGTGTTGTGGTGGAGTAAGTGACACATTTGCAGACCAAGTTAGCATACAAACACTAACATCCTGCTCTAAATCATCTTGTTTACAAGTTACAAAAAACAGAATTGATTTGTTAGTCATGACTTGTTTAAATCACAACTATCACAACAACTATCAACTTCCTGACACGTGTCCTAACAAACATTTCGTTATGTACCTGCTGCAGCTGTTATTGCATCGCACAGTGTAAATGCCCATATGAAATTGTCATACATTCAGCAAACATAACATTGTGTTTGAAGTTGTATAGTTATAGCACTTTATATTATTTGGATTAATGGCTACTTTCTTAAATATTCGTGTCAATTTATATAATTGACATAGTCTTGCAAAGTTCTGAGGTGACTCAGTGGAATGTTTACAAGATGGGAAATGGTGGTTCAAATGTGTCTTTACCACAAGGTTAAAACCTACCACTGGCTGACGTAGACGTGTGTTCGACACGTTTTGATCTTTGAACGAAGTGTGAAAAGCAAATTAAGAACTTTATACAGCAATGTTTGCATTCATTGAGAGCAGCTTGGAAGCTTGTGCACATTTCCAGCTGTAGAGTGGATTCCTGTAAACTAGCATGTGTCACAATCTTTGTGTGGAAATCTGATAAGAAATGTGACAAAATACTATTTATAGATCTCTTGCCATATTGTCTTGTGGGATTTTTTTTTTCTTTTTGTGATAACCTTTTATGTCATAGGAATCATTTGACATTGTTTTGGTGTTAGCCAGTTAAATACCGGCGTACAGAACAAACTTGCTGTGCTTAAAAATAAGTCATCGGATTATTTTCATTTCTATGTCAGAGAGGGAGCACGGCAGAGGGAAGTACATTTTCTTCATCATGCTCATTAGCACTTTTTATATGACTAAAGCTGCATGAGTGTAACCCACCCAGTTAATTCTGCATTGCTCTTAGCACAGAGCATAGCAGAATTAGTATACAGCTACAGTATACAGCTGACTCATGATAGCAAAGGTCATATATATATATATAAGCAAATACATCAGTGGGCTACATGAACAGTCTTGAAACTTTGTTTGTAAAACAAAATATTGATATGCTGCAGCATGCATTGCAGCAGCTTCTCTAGCTCTCCTGTATCAGTGTTAAAGTCTCCATTGCTTGGCAGTATGCAGCAATATCAAAACCTCAAGAACTGCAACAGAATCACTGGGAGGTGCGTGGGGTGGATGGTGGGCGTATAGAGCACACACTGAAATTTGAATACTTACATCTGTGTTTTATTTTTTCATTTAAAAACTGCTTTGCTTAAGTCATCTTAAAGATTGTGGTTTTGGTTTAATCTTGATGGAGCAGATGTGTCTGCATGTCACTGGGGAATTCATCTGTTTTAAAAGATCTTAATCTAAGCTAAGCGAGATACTGCCTATAGAGGTGTAAACACAGTCATCATCAGTATTATCACTGGTTATGAATGTATTTTGAAGCAAACGTGTTCACCAGTGTGGCAGCCAAACAACTGTTTCAAATTTACCTTTTATTCCAGAAACCCTGATCTTTGGCTAAATGTTTACCGTAACTGTAGCTTTGTCAAATGTTCTGTTTGGACAAGTGAGAATTGTTCAAGGCTCCTTGTTGGCTAAAGCCTTCCTGTGTCAAGTTAGCATGTTCTCTGTGTACCTGCATGGGTTTCAGAGTACAGATTCATACATTTTGTTCACCAGGTACTTGCAGACATCATGACTTTTATGACTGAGAGATCATTTGAAAGAAGTGAACGTCATCAACTGAGATAAAGAATTTGGTTTGATCTTTAAAATTGTCTGATTTAAAAGAGACAACAATTTTAATCTGGCCTAAATCAAATGCTCCCTATAGAAGAGTAAATCCAGACATCGCTGAACATGAATTAATTGAGTTACAGAATTTAAATAGTTAAAAAGTAAAAAGCTATTTGGTGATTGGAGTCTGATAAAGCAACAGAATGACAGGAAGTAGGACAGGGCCCTTCGAAGTCTCGGTGCTGGTGCTAGTTTAGATGAAGCAGACTGAAGCTTGGAGAGGGTCTCTGATCGACCAGGGTGAAGTGGAAATGGCGAGGAGGTGGTTTGCACAAATGAGAGCATCAAAGGCAGAATGACAGGAGAGCACTGACATTTAAAACATATGAAACAGAAGGTGGGTGAGAATGATGATAGCTGAACTTAGTTTGACAGCATGTGAAAATGAAAATGAAAATAATTTAAACCTGGCAATGTAGACAGATGAGTCTTCTCTTGGGCTTCACTTGGGGACGTCAGGTCTGGTGATTTCAAATGCCGATTGTACATGATGGAAAAAAGTGAGCAGCTGATGAGGACTTTAGGCCATGGCATGAGGACAAGAGCATGTCATAGTTTTTCAAGGTCTAAAAAAGACAATGTCTATTTTTGGTCTCCCACTTTCTTTGGAGTTTTGCGTCCACGTATTCCAAAATCCCTGAATTTTATCTTATTATCTGATTTTTTAACAGTGTTAAATGTGGAGGTGGACTTACCTTTTCCCCTATGACTAATTTGCTTTATCATTTGCATATATTAAAACTCTGGAAGTAAAACTTTCCTTTGTTTTACAAGAAAAATACAGCTGATACATTTTCCCTCTCACCCAGTTCTTGGGTATGATCATTTATAGACTCTACTTACACTTTTAATCTGGGTGCTGTTTCTCATCTTGCCCCCGGGTTTATCACTGACCATGTTTTAGTACTCACCACACTTTTCTTCATTGTGACAGGTTACCATTTCACTTAATTTCACAATGCTTAATCTGTGTCCCACACCATATCAAACTCTTAGAATGTAACTAAAATGAGTTTTTCAAAATTATACCAGTCAGTTATGTTAAAGTACTTGAAAACCTGGATAAATTCACTGTGCTAATTTTCAACACACTATTAAATATTGCAAAGGCATGCAAATTAAAACCACAGGTCCCGATAGACAGGTCCCAGTAATGGGGATAAAAAGAAGAAGTTTTTTTTGTGCTTTTTTTGTTTTGTTTTGGGGGTTTTTTCCCCCCATTCATTAGGAACTAAAAGATTATTCCCAGTTCACAGTGACTCATAACCTCTGAGTTTGTGCTGACTGGTGACTTTTTTGAAAAGGGATCGAACAATCTGCAGCCTTCTGTTTCCTCATTCAAACAGACGGTAAGTCAATTCTTTCTCAAGCTTATACTTAAAGTGTCAATCACAGTGTGTGTCATGCTTAGACTTTGATCATTTTACTTTGATGGAGGTATACGCACAAGTAGCAGTCGAACAAAGTAAAAAAAAAAAAGTTTAAGTACATTAAGTTCATTTTTCAGCTTAATTTTTCCAGCAGAGTGGTTTATGTTGTAGTGTGGTACCTATAGTTTATATCCATAATACATCAATATGGCCGGGTTTATTCATTCTTTATTCATTTCTTGAAGCAAGTGAAAAATGACTACATAACCTGAAGAGTACCGTGCATCATGATCAAGATAACAGCGCATCAACACTGTATTTGTGTTGTATGAAAATAAGTCGGGAAACTGGTGTGCAGAGCTGTTTTGCAACTGTAGCGCAATAAAAAGTGCGACTTTTCCCTCTGTGTAAAGACAAAGATGAAGCAGGCTTCTAGACTTTAGTTAGACTGTTTCACATCATTTGAGTTTCCTCTGATTCTGGAAAAGCACTAAATCATCTCCTGCTATCTTTTAATTTGCTTGATAAATAAAGTCGCTTTTTCTTTTATAAACCACACTTATATACTCTATTTCATTAGATATTTTTATGCATGGTTATTCCCAGTTTAATTAACTATTCTGGTTCAAACCAGCTGTTGTTATGACTTTTGCGGTGACGAAGACGTTGATAAACTCACGTCCTCGTAGGTGCACACTTGGAAATCCAATCATAAAGAAGACCTGAGACACTCATTTCTAACCTGCGCCTTCTTTCTGGCGGCTTCTCTGCTGCAGATGGTGTTTGGTTGTGTTGCTGCGCGAAAAGCTCGCTGGTTAAAGGAAATACAGAGGAGGAGCTGCCGTCAGTGACCCAAGAGGAAACTACTCTGTCAGATGATGGTGTAATTACAGCGTGAAGCGCAGCTCGCAACCTCGGTCGGAGCATCTCTTGCAAAGCAAAACCACCTGAGTGAACGTTTGTCTCCTGTGGATCCGTACTTTCACCAAAGATATGGAGTATAAATTCTGTGCGTAAAAAGAGACGTTTTGGAGATATGGGTTTGGTTACTGGAGAACTGGAGGAACGAGCATTAATGGGAAGTGTCACTGCTTTGCTCAGCGTGAACAAGTGAAAGAATTCATTGCAGTTATGAACTCCACGAAAGAACAACCCGGATTTCGTACGCCCACCATCCCGGTGATTATGTTCATCTTCGGGGTGGTGGGGAATGTCATCGCCATAGTTGTTCTGCGAATATCACGAAAGGAACGAAAAGAGACGACTTTCTACACACTTGTGTGTGGCCTGGCGGTGACAGACCTGCTGGGCACCTTGCTGGTCAGCCCCGTCACCATCGCCACCTACATCAAAGGCACCTGGCCTGGAGCTGATCCATTGTGCCAGTACTCCGGCTTCATCCTGCTCTTCTTCTTCGTGGTGCAGCTAGGCATTGTATTTGCAATGTCAGTGGAAAGATACCTGGCGATAAACCACGCATATTTCTACAACGAGTATGTCAACCAGAGACTCGCAGCGCTGGCTCTTTTAGCCATATACATTTCCAACGTTGTGTTTTGCGCGATGCCCAGCATGGGGTTCGGTCGTGTGAAACTCCAGGAGTCTGAGACCTGGTGTTTCATCGACTGGAACAGCAGTGACACAAGTGTCAAGACTTTTAATTTGATGTACGCTGGGGTGAACTCGGGCATCGTGCTGGCCACTGTCATATGCAACGTGGTCGTGTGTGGAGCTCTGATCCTGATGCACAAGCGGTTCATCCGCCGCACGTCTCTGGGAACAGATCCGCGGCGCGTCGCGGAGCTCCGGCGCAGACGAAATTTTGGACGATTAGCTGGGGCAGAGATCCAGATGGTGATCCTGCTTATAGCTACATCCGCTGTCGTCCTCATCTGCTCCATACCTTTAGTGGTGAGTATGGCGAAATGGTAACGAGCAAGCGCGCCACTAGTATATGCGCGCGCACTAGACTGTCACAGAGTTGTAACAATCTGGTTCTTTCGAGACAGAAAAACCAGGAAAGATATTGTGTTAAACTTGATCAGTGTAATGAAAAAATAGACTGTGCGCACGCAAACACAAATACCAACACAGGTTTTACGCATATGCTTTCTGAATGTTGTGTCCTTGGTTTAGAGCTTTGTGGTCTGATGACACACTTTGTGAGCCGTCACACGTTTCGCTGTTAACACCCTTTGTGCTTTCACTTCAGCATACACACATACACACGTACACAAGGGAATACGTGTGTTTGTGTGGGGGACTAATGCGAGTATTTACAGTAACCAGTGTCGTTAAATTTGCTAACTTCAAAAGTCTCAATTCTCAGTTTATTCTCAGCTTTATCAGCAGACGTCATTGTCCAACCTGAGATAATGTCAAGGAGCAAAGTTTTGAGTGTTTTTGTTAAAACATCGTCCTCTTTGTGTTACTTTCGCAGAAGTGAACTGTGCACTAAGAGAACTGTAGCTTCAATTAGTACAACCCAGACAAGTGGCACGTTTATCTTTTAGATCAACTCAACAATACATTTGCAAAAGCTTTATATTCTCACTGTGCCTGTTAGAAACGTTTTAGGATAAGGTTTTTTTCTATCCGTCAAAATTATGATGTAATGATTAGAAATTATAAGAAGCAATTCATTGTAATGTTAGTAGCGATAACTGAGTGCTGTTTGAAATCTTAAGATTTAAACTTCCGGGCCTGCGGGTCTTGAAAAAGACAACTAACGATTAGACTCGGGGGAAGCCCAAGTGCCAAAATCTCATTTGCTATTTGAGAGCAAGAAATGTGGGAATTTCTTTTATTGGCTTCTTGCCCTTTGTACTTTACCTCAGTTAGCAGAAGGCAGATAGTGTCTGTTTATACTTGACTATTCCATTTCAACTGTGTAAGAATATTAAATAAATATATAAAATATTACTCTTAAATGAAGGAATCAGGTGTAGCCAATCAAGTGTCGACAAAAACCAAAAAATTGAATTGTTTGCTTTTGCGAAATGTTATAAATAAATAAAAAAAAATGTTCTTAATGCTTATTAAACTTTTCTACCTTTCTGTTTTCTCTGCTTGCCTCTCAGCTGAGGATCTTCATAAATCAGCTGTTCAGAAACCGCAAAGACGAGAACTCGATACTTGACGACCTGCAGGCCATCCGCATGGCTTCTGTCAACCCCATCCTAGACCCCTGGATCTACATCTTGCTCAGAAAGACAGTTGTTCTCAAGCTAATGGAGAAAATCAAGTGTGTGTTCTGTAAAATGGGTGGACGGGGACGAAGCAGTGGCAGGCACTTCCTCTGTGCTGACGGTTATCTCTCCTCATCCATCGTCTCTCGGGACTCACCATCACTGATGTCCCGTGAATTGCGGGAAATGGTGAACACATCGCACACCATGCTGTACCCATCAGAGAGAAACATGCAGGCGCGTGGGTCAGTTCAGGCGGGAGTGCAGGGTGACTCTAGCATTCCTGCTGTACAGACATTGCAGGTCCCCCAGGAGGTCCACGGGTCTAAGAGGGGACACGGAGTATTAGAGGACAAAGTGTCGGAAACTCCACTGAAAGAGCCTCCAGTGTGTCCCAAAGACCCACCTCTACATGTCACCTTTACAGATGAGACAGCAGATATACAAGAAAAATGTATATAACCATAAGCATAATCACCAAAATAAGACTTTCCCCTCACAGATGGGAACCAGTGAAAGCACTGCAAACAAAATTTGGAGACTGAAAATTCTGTCAGTCTGTAGATATCTTGTGGACTGCTACAAACATTTGACAGATGAATTACAGACCTTCTGTAAGTACCCGTTATCAGTGTATCACTCCACATTCATTCTTTGCTATATTGCTAAACTCACATGAATACAATCACATAACTTTTATTAGTACAAGCCCACCGGGGGAGCATCATAAAGCTCTCCTGTTGCACTTTTTGGATTTCAGTTCATTGCCAGGTTGTCTTTGTTTCGCTGTGATTCAACAACCTGCACGATGTCTGTAAAGAATTTGTTGTGTTAAAATGTGAACAGTGTGCCAGGATGTTAATTTATTTTTAGTGTGAAATTGTACGTTACTGTCTTCTCCGTGAGAAGGTTCGGTTAGTTTGAAGATAGGTGCGGGATGAATGCGTGTTCGTGTTTTATTTTGTTTGTTTGTTTGTTTCAAACATTAAACTTTTATTGGTTGTCAGAGCAGCTCTTTCATCAAAACTATGATTATGCCATCCCCTGAATCCCATAACAAAGGCAGCTATACACTAGAGTTCCACAGTGCAGACACTGGAGGACGTTAGACTTCAAAGTGACTCCTAAAAATCCTTCTAATCCCGTCATTTTATTGATTTAATTTGTAATGCAATGCGTAATAATCCCAGCTAATCAGAGTTTATAAGGAAGATAAGGCAGGAAATGAAAGCTGAAGCCATGACCTCGATATACTGCTGCTATAGACGTATATAAATATAAACACACGTTCATGTTCAGTGTCAGATTTATCACAAAATGTTGTGTAAATGTGTCTAACGAAAAAAACAGCAACAACTTATGTACCAAATTTATAAACAAAATAAAACTGTCTAAATATTCATATAAGCTAATAAACGTCAGTGTGTTGTTTTCTTTTGGAATCAACAGGAAGAGTGAATGATGATGAATGATGTGCAAACAAGTATTAACAGCAAATAAATGCTTGATGATGTACAGCTACTGTACGTCAGTAAGTTCTGGAAGAATGACACATTTTTTTGAAGCTTCACTTCTGTATAGCACCACAGAGGATTTTAAACAGTCAAGATGTGACTGAAGCGCAGGTGTTCAGCTTTAATTTGTTTCATTAAGTGTTTAGAAATTACAGCTATTTTTATACACAGATCCACATTAAAAAAGGATTGTTTTAATGCATTAATGAAGTCAGTGACTGCTTGAAGTCTAGAACCCAATGTTGTGTTTGTCTTGAGATGATCTACCAGGTCTTTGCTTCAGTTGCCTTTAGTTGCGGTTCTATTTGTGGAACCGCAGTGTCTGATCAGTTTTGCAGCATTTGCTGAACCTCAGCAGAGAGTATTCATCCTCTGCTTTTAGCAGCAGTCACGTCATCAATAACCAGCAGTGACCCGGTTCCACAGGCACATAACAACATCATGTTTGACAGATGACTTGCTGTTCCTCTCCTTCTCCACATGTTTCCCTTCATTCTGGTGCAAAATAATCTTGGTTTCTTCTGTCCAAAGTTTTTTTTTTTCTTTTTTGCATTTTTTCAAAACTCTGCATGCTCTTTTAGATGTTTTCTGGTGAATACCTTGCTGGTTTTCCTGTTTTTTAGTCTGCCCAGTGCTTTGCGCCTTGTTGTAAACCTTCTTGATTTCCCTCCACAAAGGTATCTCCTAATTATGGACTTTAGAGCTCTTGTTGACATCTCTTTGGACCTCGTAATGAGAGTTCCAGTGACCTGTTACCAAATACAAGATCAGCATTTGAAATGAACCCAGATGTTTCGTCTGCTGTGATGGAATAATGAGGGGACAGACATCGCCTGGTCATGAGACAGCTTGTCAGTCAAATGTCCGATTACTTCTGAGCATCTGAAAATGTGGTACTGTGTCTGCACTTCAGTCACATCTTGACTGTGTGATTTTAAAAGCTACTGCTGTGGCATACAGAGGCAAAACACAAAAATATGTGTTAATGTCCAAATACTTATGAACCTACTAACATTACAAGCAAGTGCTTCTCCGAATCTACTGAAAACAATATTGATCAGTCCAGCAAAGACTGAGTTAAAATCATTAGTTATCACTTCAGGGTTAATGGCGTTCACCACTTGGTCAATTAAAACAATGAGGCTGGTTCAATTCTGTTCAGTTTATGTAGCACCAATTTACAGTACTCATTTAGCACTTTCTATTCTAAGGTAAGGATCCTACAGTATTATAGATAAGGGATCATGGATTGTTGGGTGTCAATGAGCAAGTACGTAAGGACAACGGGGACAAATAACATGACTGTGTGTGTTTAGGAAAAAAGCGAAAAGAAAATGATAGAAAAAAGACAACTTACAGAACAAAGCATAAACTACAGAGAGAGAGAAGACCAAAGTTAAATAGTGGTCGGTAAATGCAGAGGAAGTAAAAGGGAGTTTTTAGGATATCCGGAGATTAAGGAATTACAATAGTCCAGCCTACAGGTAACAAATGCCTGGCCCCATTGTGGAAGTGATTCTTTGCAACAAGAAAAAAGCAAAAAGCAAAACAAAAGGGAAAGTAGACGACTTCAACACAACCCAAGTGAGATTTATAAACATTTCTATGTTATGGGTGTTTATAAAAGACGTAGCACCTGCCATCCCCTTGGTTAGCACTGACTGCTTTGAGCAAATTTAAAATCAATAGCCGTTTCTGACGGCAGGATATCGTTCACTTGCAGACAGCTGGTTTCTTTACCTCTGATGATTTCCAGTTCCACTGTGGCCTCCGTCCAGAGCCTTCCGAGAGCAATGAAATGCCCCTCTGAGAACAATAACGCTTTAAAGACAGCTCTGACCTCAGAAATCTGTTAAAGCTGTAGAGCCTCTCGGGAGACAGGAAATAGTGACTGACAAAACAGCTGTGACAGGATTTTAGCAGAGACTCGGAAGGAAAAACGATTCTCCTTGGAAACTTGTCCCTTCTCTCCCCATCTCATCAGCTCGCGCCGCTAACATGTGACAGCCTGTTTTAGACATTTAAACTCTCGCCATGATGAGCCTGTGAAAACAAAGGGTCATTAGAGGATGCCATTGAAAAAGAGGCCAGTTGTGACATTATGGGCTTTTAGAATAACTATTGCACTATTTTAACTTGAGCTGTTTTTACCCAATCAGGATATTTGAGGATGAAAACAGAATCAAATTGATTTAGACGATGTTTGTCAGAGAGTAGCTGATGAATAATGGCACTTATTAGCATTGCAAACCATTTAAAAAGGTTGTAATTATTTCTAGCTGATGGCTTACCAAACTATACTGTGCACTAATCGTTTTCATGAGCTGGAATAGAATGGCTGATCTTGTTTTTATCTTGGGAGTGTGTAGCTTCATGGCAACACGACCATAGCAGGAACTATCACAAAGGTTGTTCTGAGTATTTTGGCAGATGTATCTGAAGGCAGATTTTGTCAAAACAATAGCCTCTCTGCAAAACTGTGCAGGCTGCAATCATGAAACTTTAAGATGTGTAGCTTATATTGAAATAAGAGCCAAGAAAGGTGTGGTCCGACACATGGCCACTTAGTGCTCGTGCAGTAATGCAGAAAAGACAACTGAGTGACAGGTTGTGCAATCCCATCCCAGCATGCTGTCATGTGTATTCTGTTGCTATGCCTTCAGGACATATTACAGTATCGATCAGCCACTGAATAGTGGTGCTGGCTGCTTCTTGGCAGTTTATAACTTTATTTATACGACTGGAGATAAAGAGCAATGCATGACACATTACGCCATCTCAATATTTATTTCACAGAAACAAAAATGCAGAAGTATTGTGTAAAAAAAAAACTAAGCACACCCCATGATTCAATAGCATGTAGAAGTACTTTTACTAATAACTGGAAGCAATCATTTTCCCATTTGATCTGATGTAGTCTCCCACATTTTTGAAGAGGAATTTTGTCTCATTCGTCTCTACAGTGTCGCCTCAATTCAATGAAGTTTGCAGTTATGCACGGCTTTTTTAAGGTCCCATTTCTGTAAGTTAGAGGTCTAGGCTTGATTGGGCCACTGTGACACCTTGATTCTTTTCTTTTTTAGACATTCTGTTGTACATTTGGTGCTGTGTTTGAGTCATTGTCCCGTTACATGACCCGACAGTTGGACAAATGGCCCAACGTTTGATTCTAGAATACTTTGGTATACGGAGGAGTTCATGGTCGACTCAATGACTGTAAAATCAGTCTAAATTATTATGTCTCTGCCACTGTGCTTGACAATTGGTCAGAGGTGTTTGTGCTGATATTTTGGTTTGTTCAGATGCAACTTTACACATTTAAGCCGTGCTGGCATGCTCTTTTTAGATATAAGAGGGTTTCTTCTGGCAACCCTGGGGATATCTGCTCCTGAGAAGATGGGTAACTGTGAATAATTCTCACTGTGGAATGACTTGTGGACTTCACTTTGATTTAACATGTCCTTTTAAGCCTTCCCATGGCAGCAGCAATCACTTCTTTATAACCGTTGTAGATGCCTTTGTTTGAACCCACATTAATTGTTCTAGAGAAAAAGTAAAAAGAGTTATCTTAATCTGTAGGACTTTTTGTCTGGTACCCAAGCGTATTCAGCAAATAAATAAAATTCATCCTCCAGGGATGACTTGCCTTGCAGACATCTTCACTTAAAACCACCTAATAACTGCTGAGACTGTTGATCGCAACATGACGTGGCAGATTGACTAATACTTTTATCCCTTGAGCTACACTGTTAGAATGTGGGGGGAAAAAGTTCCCAAAACTCTGCTGAAGAGTAGGAAAAAGCCTGTAGCCAGTATGTACCTGACGGCGTCAGAACAACTTCAAAGCAGCCGTACTCTTCGAAAAACAAAAGTTTTGGCTTGTCCCAGAAATGCTGAGGCATCTGTGAAGTAGGAGGTGCAGGTTCGGCTGAGCAAAGCCAGTTGGTTAACAACAGTTCCTTTTTTTCATGCATTTTCTTTTATTTCTTTTGGAAAGTTTGGATTTACATTGAAATTGAACATGTGGCTTGACCAGCATTTGAACCATCCAAATACAGTGTGTTTAAAATCACTTGGCGCACCCTGATTATACACAGGTGACCTCCATTCATCTTATTATGCAACTTCTAAAAACAACAACTGCGCCAGCGATGTTTTTGGGTGTGTCTCAGACAAGCGTGTCACAACTTATATAATCTTTATATATACATATATATTTCAGAAGTTAGATTACGTTGTAGAAATGTCTTCTTTTTCTCTTTGCCATATTTCTCTATTTCAAAAAGTGTTAGTAGTTTGTTTTCTTTCCTGTTATTATTATTATTACACAGTGTTCCTGTCAGTCATCTGAAGCGCTGACATTTATCACCACTGAGAATCAATCTATATCCCGCCTCGTGTTTACATTACCCATCTGTGGTGCTGACTGATCAAGTAATTAATTATATGCAGTTTACGTTCACCTTCCTAATCGTCTTTTTTTTAACTGAAATAAATGTTTTTCCCCATCCTTCCTACAAACCAGACAAGAAAAGGGAAGTGACTGCTCTATGCAAATAACTTCAACAGTTTCTTGGAATCAGATGTTCCAGCTAATCCGGTGAGACTTCACAGATGTGCCCCTCACTTGGAGGCATACAAATTCTGTACTGACCAAATCTGCTAATTTTTTGGAGTGTGAGAGCTGTACCTTGATCATAAAACACACTAAGCATGCACTTTATTAGGTACACCTTGTTGGTACCTGGCTGGACAGCCTTTTCCCTTCAGAGCAGCCTTAATTCTTTCTGACATGGATTTGGTTTAATATTTGACATGATAGCATCACAGTTGCTGGAGATGTGATGGCTGCACATCCATGACATGAATATGACATTCCAACACATCTAGAAGATGCTCTGTTGGATTGAGATCTGCTGACTGTGGAGGCCATTGGAGTACAGTGAACTAACCATCACTATTCAAGAAACTGACTGAAAGAGCTGGGGTTCTAATACTTCCAAGACACTGATGGAAGCAGTGTGTTTGCATGGAAGCATGGCAGAGGGAGAGTCATGGTTTGGGGCCTTGATGAGTCCTTGATGACTTACAAATACTGAGGAAAAATAAATTGAAAACTAAAAAAAAAAAAATGTAAAAAACAATTACCAGAGATAATCGGGATAATAGTTCAAGAGATTAAGCTTGTAATAGCTTCAAATAAACAAGTTAATCAAAAACACCAAAAAATCAAAAACTAAAAACTCCCTAAACAAACATTTTTTGAAATGAACAAGTGAGAATCCTGACTTTAGCATGCTAGGATCCTGTGGTATCACATAAAGAAAATGGTTCACTTACAATAGGGTCAGCAACTCACCAGCCGCAATTCAGGATTAGGGTTAAAGCCTAATCCTCTTAATACATATACTATATGTATTAATTTATCCTCTGTCTGTCTGTCCCTTTCACTTCACTCCCGTCACCTGTCCATCTCATCCCAAACCATCTCGACTTGGTTTAGGTCAGGTGACTGTGGAGGCCAGACCATCTGTAGCAGCACTCCATTGATGCTCCTTCTTGGTCAAATAACCCTTACACAGACTGGAGATATGTTTGGGGTCAATGTCTTGTTAGAAAGATAAATGATGGTCCAACTAAATGCATACTGGATGGGATGGCTGTGGGAGCCATGCTGGTTTATTATCCCCATCAGTGTCACCAGCAAAGTACCCCCACACCACCGCAGCTGCTCCTCCATGCTTTGTGGTGGAAACCATGCATATAGAGACCATCCGTTCACCTTTTCTGCATTGCACAAAGACAAGTGGTTGAAACCAAAGATCTCAAATTTGGACTCATCAGACCAAAGCGCAGATTTCCACTGGTCTAATGTCCATTCCTTGTGTTTCTTAATCCTAAACAAATCTCTTCTGCTTGCTGCTTTTCCTTAGCAGCTATTTGACCATAAAGTCTCGATTCTCCTCTGAACAGTTGATGTAGAGATGTGTCTGCTTATATATATTTATATTGTACAGTAGATCGTACAATAATACATACAGAGAAAAACCCAACAATCATATGACCGCCTATGAGCAAGCACTTTGGCGACAGTGGGAAGGAAAAACTCCCTTTTAACAGGAAGAAACAAAGGGTGGCTACTTTGAGGAATGTAAAATATAAAACAGAGTTTTTATTTTGAGTTATTGTTTTTTTCTTTGCTACATAATTCCATATATCTTGCTTTATATAATTGATGTCTTCAGTATGTATCTACAATGTAGAAAGCAGTAAAAATTAAGAAGAACCATTAAATGAGAAGGTGTGTCCAAATCTTTCACTAGTAGTGTACATAATAAATGTCTGCACAAGTCAATTCTTCTTCTCCGGTGAAAGTAAACTGCAGGAAACACAACTATGACATTTTTTTCATTGTTTATTTACTCACTGACAATTTGCTGAGCATAAATCGTGTTTTAATCCACATCCTATTTCACAAACAATCATATTCACAAGAGTAAAATGTAACCACAAGTCTCGTGAATTTTCTCTGTACTTTACAATCGCACATAAAGATTGTGGCTGTAGATTTTAACAAGCAAATGTTGTAATTTTCATGTAAATCAGGGAAGTTAAAGTCTCTCAATTTACGTGTCCACATTATTTTGAAACACAACTAGAAGCAAATAAAGTTTATATTTCTACAAATATCAGGATGAATCCTCAGTAATTAATGAACGGACCTTCACAGATTGAAATCTGACCCTCAGCCTGTTTTTACTGTTGTCTGAAACCACATTATGTTACAACTTAATTATCACATGCACATTTACTACTATTTACATGAATGGGATTCAGACACACATGGGTAAAACTCAACTGTCTTAATTTGTACATATTAACATTCACAATTCTTGTGAATGTTAATATGTACAAAAAAGACAAACAAAAGCGGAACCTTGAAAGTCATTTATATTCTCTTCAAAGTCCTCTTGCTTTGACAAACTCTTCCTTTGATGGTGTGGCTGAGTCCTCTGATCCCTCCTCCCCTGTGAGTACATTTTTTACATTCCCCTCAGCATCTATGATTACAGCGGTCCTCTTTAGCTCCTCATACCGTGTCTGTCGCTCAGCGACGGCCACACAAGCAGCTAGCACTTCGTCAGACTCAAAATCATAGTCCTGATTGAGCTCAGGGGCATTAAGGATCTCTTTTTTAGTCTCCTCCTCTTGTCGAATCTTCTCCTTGGTTGCTGTTTGCTGCTTCTGTAACCTCCAAGCCCAGGTAAGGTCTTCCTGCCACAGGGTGCGCTCTGATGGGCACTGGTGGATGGCAATCTGGAATGACCTCACAGCCTAGAGGGACAGTAATGACATGAGCTTAGGGACATATACAAGATTTCAGACTACTGTCCTAAATGCTGCAGGTGATTGCAGCATCAGCGTTGTAATGAGCACGACCACAAGCTTCATTGTGGACAGATTGATCGTTCCATTAAAAGGAGCTCAATAACTTTTATATGACTGTGGGATGGGTTCGCACATTAGTTTGAATGTTAATAGTTATACTGAACAGAAAGATTCATGGTCTATAATTATCTATGTGACCACACATCACTCCTGAAATATGCTGCCTGGTTTCTTCTTCTTCTTGTTGCTCTCTTTAAGGGGTCGCCACAGCAGATAATCTACCTCCAATCAATCTCTAGCATCTTCTTCTGTCACACCAACCTTCTGCATGTCCTCCTTCACTAATTCCATGATTCTTCTCCGTGGTCTTCCTCTTTTCAACATCCTTTGTCCTGTATACCCAATATCTGCTGTCTGCACATGTCTGAACCATCTCACCCTTGGCTCTCTAACTTTGTCTCCAAACAGCTCTGTTTTAGCAGTCCATCTGATATACCCATTTCTAATCTTGTCCATCCTGATCTGTACCAATCCTGATCTCTGTCAGTGCCAGTGTCCCCGCACAGTATACATCATAGCAAATGGGAAGGTTTACAATCATCTTGTAAACTTCTGTCACACTCGTCTCCACCCACACCACCTTGCCTCTACTCTTCTTCACCTCTCTTGTGCACTGTCGGTTAGCCCCAGGTACTTAGGTGCTTAACTGTCACATCTATCTCTCCTTGCATTCCTCTTCTCACCAGTGCATAACTCCACGTCTCCAGGCTCTCTACCACCTGCTGCCTACTCTCACATTATTATTGCCTGGCAATGTCATAGTCCACGGAGACTCTTGTCTGACCTCCCATTTTCCCATAAAAGTAAAAATTAGAAAAAAGAAAATCTGTTACTTGTTCATTAAAACACAATTCTTTAAAGGATAAGATAAATGGTGTTTTCTGTAATCTGGAGATTGCTTTTCATGCTTGAATTGCTAGCCTGCATTAATCTCCTGATGGGAATCTATCAAAACTACTTGATGTTAACATTCCTCACCTGTAACATAAATAACATGCGCTGTCAAAGATGATGACAGGTTAATCATAATAAGATTTCTGAAAAAAGTGCAACCGTCTGTGCCTAAAACAACACATCAAGTATAATCTTGAATCAACTAGAGCCAAATCAACCTTTATAAATGAAAGTAATCCTTCAACTGCTACTGCAGGAAAAAAAATCATCAGTCTTCTCTATAAAACTCATGGCCAAACAAACTTTATGCTAAAACGCAAATCATACATGGAGACTATGCATTTTTCTTGAATTGGATTGCAGGGGATAATAATTAAAGAAGGGAAGGACTAGAGCAGAGCCATGGAAAGGATACATGGAAATCACTGTGTTCACATTTGCACAAACATGTGCTACTCAAACATGTTGGTGCATACAAAGCTTTGAAACTCGACTGAACAAGTCAAGCTAAAAATAGATGTGCCGTATTTTTCTTTTCCATCCCAAAAGCTTCATTACAGAGGGAGGTGTGTCTATATTTGGTTTAGTTTTAGCTGTAATTTTCAACACTTCCTATTGTTGTTGTTGGTACCATAGGACAGGTTTCCCGCTCTGGGGCGTGTAGGAGCAACATTAGCTGAAGGCGTTCTGAGTTCACCCCTGTTTGTTTGGCTTGAAAAGGGCCGAGCAGCAGAACTGCGAGTTTCGAACACCCACAGGTCCCGGCGTGTTCTGGGGCAATTTAAGCAATCGTCCAAGCCCCAGGCACCTGGGTGTGCTTTCATAGAGTCGCTTTGTCTCACAGAGTTCACAAAAAAAGTAATAGTAAACACAGTAAGTCATCCATCTTAACGGCGCTCCAAATTCGAGACAACTGACTTACAAGTATCTACATAAACAGGCGTTGTTTATTGCAAAATCAAATGCATAAATGAATCCTTCCAGTAAAGACCATTAGCGACTGCCTAAGAAAAAAAAAAAAGCCATCAACTGTTATGCAACACTACTGATACAGCACAACTACAGCATAACTAAACGTGGATTAAGGGTCACCTAATCCAGCCCTAACTGTAAACTTTATCAAAAAGGAAAGTTTTAATCCTAATCTTAAAAGTAGAGAGGGTGTCTTGTCTGTCTCCTGAATCCAAACTGGGAGCTGGTTCCTCAGAAGCAGGGGCCTGAAAGCTGAAGGCTCGGACTATCCTTCTACTTTTAAATAGCCTAGAACGCCAGGGTAGAATGCCTAGAGTGGCAGCAGAGAAGTATCACAAGGTATCACAGTTGTGTGGTGGGATCTGACAAAAGCATGAGGCCTTTCCATGCGAATTTGCATGTTAGTCGTCTCTTTGCACCTGTTCTTTCCAGGTACTCTGGCTTCCTCTCACAGTCCAAAGATAAGGTTATTCGGTTGGGCGAAACTAACCTAATAAAACTGCAAATATTAGCCTGAATGATTGTCTGTCTTTCTGTGTTAGCCCTGTGATAGACTAGTGAACCGTTGAGGGTGTGCTCTGGCTCTCGTCCAATCAAAGCTGGGAGAGACTCCAGCCCCACCGTGACTCTGAATTGGATAAGCGGTTAAGGAGGTCAGTCTGCAGTAGTTGTGACTTAAAAATACCATTTATTATTTGCATTTTCTTGCAGCCTTGCCTTCACAGGACGTTTTTAATGCATTGCCAGATACACTCACTAGGTCCACCTCTCCCAAGTTGAGCTGAGCCCGACCCAAGGTCTGCCAGCCCTCCCACCACAATGGCCGGAACTTCACTGCCATCTCTGCTGCCTTCACAGCTGGAAAGACTTCCTGCAGAACGGTCAGCACCTGACAACAAAGAAGGTTAAAGATGATGCACGCACGCCATAAACAAAACAGCAACAAAATCAAAGAGAGAAAAAAAGATCATCGAGATCAGAAAGTACACAGGCTTTAAACTGTCTTTGCTTACATTTTGTAGTGTGGCTATTTATTTATTTATTGTCGCTTTATATCTTTTCATATATCACACCATTTTATTTTCAGCTTGATACTGGTCAGTTACCATATTAAAAGTAAATAATTGATATCTCCGTCCATGCAGACTGATTTGTGGTGACTCACTGAACCACTAGTCCTGCAGTACAGTGCGGAGCACCTTCATGGTCACAAGATTTCTCTCTAAATCACTGACATTTTCTGTGATCGCATTTAACAGTGTAAAACTGAAGTTGTTAACGTCTTTAACCTTGTATTATAAAGTCATCTATTATTCAGACGCTGGCCCTTTTTGATTTCGCTTTTGTCATGCCTGAAGTCAAGACCTGACAACTTTGTGCATGTATTTGCATAATAAACAAAAACTATTTTTGAAGAGGTTCTCTTTCGCTGGTAATGCCGTTAAAAATAGCATTATTGTCTTTTACGATTTTTTTATATATATGCAGAGCAAAGCGATGCTGACAAATAAAGCTAAACTGAGTATTGTTGTCAGGACATTTATGCTCTTGCTATTGCTGGACACAGGTTTACTTTTACTTCCTCCTTTTTCAATCACATTTCAACATGAGACTTAGACGTGAGAATAGCACCAGTGTACAGCAAGATGCACCAACACAACATGTTGAAGTCTAAAGACTGCTTTAATACCATAGCTTGATACCCACTGATACGCCAGAAATACCTACAATGTCTCTGTCAGAACACCGCAAACCAAAATGCCTTCAAAGCCGTAACATTTTGAAGACATCTCATTATCAACAGGATCCACCATAGGTTGGAATCATTAATTTATAGCCAGTAAGACGAAGTAAAAGGTTTACAAACTGGACTGATTTCAGCCACACAGATATACAAGTGGCAGGACACAAGTGGCACAGATTAAATTAAACAGGAAGAAAGTGATGAGAGGAAGTAAAAGGCCAGCAGAGTCACTGTAACCAAACTCGTCATCTGGGCCAGTAATAGGCATTTGATGAGAACCAGCCCATTTTCAGTCTAACGACTGTGAACAACATCAGCAGTGCTAATGGATACTAATAGGTGAAGTGGGTGTACATGTGTGTCCAAACACACTGAAGCCCAATCCAAGTAGAAATGGTATAAGGCCAGTTTGAATTTATGCCATTGCTCATGTCATTCCTGGAATGAGGAAAAAAAATCATGCTGCGGTGTTTTCCCAATACCCTAATAAATGCTTCTCTAACGATTTCCTTCTCAAATTTCTTATAATGGATGATATTATATTAGGCTTGGAGTACTCTGTGAGATGTGAATGACTATGGAAATAATGGAGGAAATAATGGAGTTTGTGAGACTACACCCACGACTTCTTTACTTTTCTTGTGTAACAAGAAAAGGAGAACTGAGGCGCAGCCAAAATACCTAAAGAAAGAGTAACTATAAAAACTAAGAGGAAAAGAAAGTTGAGAAAAGTAAAAAAAAAAAAAAAAAGATTAAAGATTATTTACATGGTATTGAAAATAAGCAACAGACGTTAATCTCAAAGTGGAAGCGGGAAAAATGGTCTATGTAGCCATGGCCACCAGCAGCTTTCATTAATTTATCATTGCTGATAAACACCATGATAACAATAATAATAATAATAATAATAATAATAATAATAATGGATTGGATTTATATAGCGCTTTTCAAGGCACCCAAAGCGCTTTACAATGCCACTATTCATTCACTCTCACATTCACACACTGGTGGAGGCAAGCTACGGTGATGATATCACAAAAAATATATTTTTTGAAATTTTATGCGACTAAACAAGAAAATTGTAACTATGGATTCCATGGACTGATTATAAAAGATTGATGTTTGTGGACTATTGCTTAAAGTCTCAAGATTAGCATTTGGTGAATTTTTTAAAAGGCAGAACTGGACCAGAAGGTGCAGTGTTAAGCTAGGTGTTAATAATAGAATTTAAATGCTACACTGGCAACACTGAAGGAGCTAGTTTAATGAGTCAGATTAAGGTAGGTAAGATTCTAATGCCTGACATGCCCATTGTGATATGCAATTAACTGAATCAGTTGCTTGAAAAATATTGGCTATGGATTATATTATGAAAGCTAATGTTAACTGCGCATATTTACTTCTGCTGCTGAGCTGGGCATTAAACTGTAACGTTCTACAAGAACTGACCCACTTGTGGAGCTAGCCTCACGCAGTTACTGCAGTTTTTGGTAATTCTGCACTAGTTTTGTTCTCAGCTCTGACGTTGCAACCTGGTTTACTGGCATAACTGAATACAAAACTCCAAGTGTAAAACAGCATCTTTTAAAGTTTTGAGGTTTCGCATCTCACAAAAATTCTACAGTGTATCAGGAAACAGCAGAACAAAATGGGGCGGCTGTTTCAACCATGTGGTTAAAGACAATGTTAACCACATATGCTTTTTAAAGTACATTTTCTCACAAATGAAATATGATACTGCACTCATGTCAGATCCAAGCCATACATACTGGAACCGTGATCCCTTTCAAATGCAATTTCAATGGAAGTGAAAATAAATTATCATTAAAATGGCACTAAGATCACATTTCTTCAGGGCTGCTACTGATAAGAATGAATTTTAAAAATCTATTATTTGATCACTAAGCAAAACTTGAATAAGCACTTGGTGGAAAAACCCTTGTTGGCAAGCACAGCAGTAAGACATTTCTTCTAGCTGGTCACCAGGTTTCACACATCTCAGGAAGGATTTTGGCCCACTGCTCTTTACAGAAACTCTCTAAATCCTTTAGGTTTCTTGGCTACAGTTTGGCAACTTAAAGCTTTGGCTCCCTTCACATACTTTCTATCAGACTGAGGTCTGGAGACTGGCTAGGCCACTCCATGGCCTAATGTGCTTCTTCTTTAGCCACTCCTTTGTTGCCTTGGTGGTTTGTTTTAGCTCATTGACATGCTGGAAGATGCATCTGCGACCCATCTTCAGTGTTCTGGCTGAGGGAAGAAGGTTTTCATCCAAGATCTGACTGTGCATTGGCCTCTCCCGTTACATAAAGTCGCCCTGTAGTTGCCCTTTGCAGAAAAACAGTCCCAAAACAAATTGTTTTTACCTCCGTGCTTGCCTGTAGGGATGTTGCTCTTTGGCTCATAATCAGCATTTTTCTTCCTCCAAACACAACGGGTCTGTTGGTCTGCTAGTACGTTACCAGTGGTACCAGTTGGTGACTGTGGTCCCAACTGTCTTCAGATCATTAACCAGCTCCTTTCATGCAGTTTTAGGGTGATCCAAAACTTTTCTCATGATCATCATCGCCTCATGAGGCAAGATCTTGTTTACTTGCTATCATAAAATTTGAGATTGCTCACTTACAAAGATGTGAACAAACTTCAGTAGAGGATCAACTAATTATTTCCACCACTGTTTGTTGAGAAAATATGTCTGTTAGAGAATATAATTAATGATATACCTGGGACTTCATTTCATACAGTAGTGGGTTGTCTGGAGTCAACTGAATGGCCTCATCCCACTTCTTGATGGCCTCCCAGTGCCTGAAGAAAACACACACTGTGGTTCAAATCCAACTGAGAACAGTGGGATTCAGGTATCTATAATCAGAGTCGTAAAGGTAAAGCACATTCACTTCTTAATAGTCATGCATTTATGAGCCATGAATGCTTGCTGTGTTCACTGTGAATTTACACAAAGCCAATCTAAACATTGCCAACCTACACAAAACCAAACATCCAGACGTGGCTCACAGCACCAAGTTAAACACAGGTTCATGATGAACTTTGCTGAGGTTAAATTCTGCAGGTAATGCAGCACTGAAGCGCAATCAATTCAAACAGTAAATAATATAATGCAGTGAAATGAGACACCCAGTTTCACCATCTCCACCCAGAGATTTGATATGTTATGCAAACTAACATGGGTCCACATGCTTGTGGACATCATAAAAGCACTTTCCCTAATTATTTCTATTGTTGCGTGCTGTAGAAATGCCACCTAATTTGAAAGCTGCCTCTGCCCTACTTTTCTATTCTTTCAGGCAACTCCCTAAAAGATTAGAAAACCAGACTATTACTAACATGGCTGTATCATGTTTCATTTGTTTACTACAACCATAACCACATGGTTGGTTTTGTGCTTTTTTTGTTTTGCCAGTTAAAAAACAAAAAAAACCTAAAATACATTTATCATATTTATAATAGGAAAAAGTGGGGAAAAAAGAACAAAGAATTTCTTAAAACTAGAAAGCTGCATGTGTACGCCACAACATCCGCCCACTTCCGGCAGCAGAGAGTGCACAGAGGCTGCAGCAGGTTACATAAACAGAAAAAGGTTGGCTGAAGTGAAGAGACAAACGGTAAACCAAAACCTCCCTTGGTGGTTTCTTAGCATGAGCTAATTACGTTGTCTACTAGTTCCTTCCCAGACATTAAAGCAGAACGATAGCGGAATTTGCACGAAGTCACATTAAGCTTCTCTAGAACCTCACTCCAAGCAGCTGTCACCACTATAGTTAACTGCTTTGCATAGATTTGTATACCAGGATTCACAAGTCTTCAGGTATTTCACCACATATGCATACACTCCAGGCGATTCTAGGAACTCTCTTCCTCTGGTCAATATTGACACAACACTGTTTTCCTGATCAAGATAAAGACAAGAGGTGACATCCCGGGTATGTCAAATCGACACCTTTTATAGCTTTATGGAGATGGATATCCTGAGAAAATCAAAAGCAATTCAAATCACACAATGAGACAACTAGTGGTCATCACCTACAAAGTTCAGACTGCAGTCAGAAAACATGCCACTGCCATTCAAAAGGCAGAGAGAACAGTGAGGAAACGGAACTAAAGGAGTGTGGAAATCTTTCCATTACATGAAGTAAAGAATACTGCAAAATCATATGAGGAAATTAAGCAATGAGCTATAAACCATGTGAGGCCTGCAAGCTAAAAATGGCTCTTCTAGTGGCATCATAACTGTTTATCAGTCAAAGATGGGTTAGAGAGACGGGACAGTAACTAGTATCAATTTTAAGAAAGTCCATTATTTGGGCAGCTATTTTGAAACGTAATATAAATTAATATAAAAACTGCATGCACAGAATCATTATTCAAATCTATCTTTAAAAAACACACTTAAACAGTTTGCCAACTCTTTTCCAGTGGAAGTTATATTCCTCTGATTTTACTGTTGCAAAACTCTTCCACGGATTAAAACAAACGTTTCCTTTAGTGGTTTATGTCTCTCTTATAATGCCTCTGCTCATAGCCTAATACCGTTTGAATGATTTAAGTGCTTACTTGTTATTAGTTTAAAGAAAGAGTGGAAAATTATGAAATACAGTAGAGGATGGAGCATCATTTAACACGCTACTGTCCAAAAAAGGAGAAAATCCCAGCATGCTCCTATCATAAGAAACCCTCATATCCTTACTAGAGATGGACCGATCCGATATTACCTATCGGTATCGGTCCGATACTGACCCAAATTACTGGATCGGATATCGGCGAGAAATAAAAAATGTAATCCGATCCATTAAATATCAAAAAAGCACCTCACAAAACTTGCTACATGGCGTAACTCGGCTCATAACTGTAGTACCTGATAGAGCAGCTGTGTGTATTTGTAGCCTCGCTACCAAACCAGCATTTCATCTCCGAGGAAGTTTTCCCAGAGACAAGTAAAGCAAGTGTGTAAGTTCATCTCTGAATGTCTGTAAAGCATTCCCACGTTAAGCTTAACAACAGATATATGGAGCGACTGCCTCTCTCTCTCTCCCCCTCTCCTGCTGCTACTTCAATCGTGAAACTGCTTAATGATCAGCTGATCGGCTTTTCTGTCGCGAGTCCGTCTCTCTTTCTTTTGTTTTTGCCACTTTGCACCAGAAAGAGGAAACCAGCGGCTGAACAACAGCAGCACGTTTAACCTTGATAAGCTGTTGTTAGAATTTATTTAATATTACTTTCTACACCAGGATCTTTTTCTACGTAGCTGACGGCTGGTAACTGTGCAGGGGCGGATCTAGCAAAGTTTAGCCAGGGGGGCCGATAGGGCATTAACAGGGAAAAGGGGGCACAAAGACATACTTTTCTTTCTTATTCTCATTTAAAATGTCTAGCTTTTAATAAATAATTATCTGACTTACACCCAAAGTTTTAATCTGATGTAAAATGTATAGAAGTCCATTACTGTATATAGTAACTATTAAGTCTAATATACCCTAGTAAGCTATAGTATTTTTTCCTTTGGGAAGGTACCATCTGTGCAGGTTTTTTTTGCTGGGAGTTTGCAACCCTATTAGTTAGGTTGCTTAATATTTCTGCTAAGTACTCTTTAAAATACCAGAATAGGGAGGATGGTGCAGGTTTAAGTTTATTAGATCAGTGTTGCTGAACTATGACATATTTTGGACACAGTGTATTTTTTACATACAGGTATAACAGAATAGCGTTAGTGTTGTTATTTATTTAAACTTGGGTATAAACTTATACAAAATGCAGCAAGATATTTAAAAAAAACTGTTTTATTGATTAAAAAACACTATATCGGATTCATATCGGTATCGGCAGATATCCAAATTTATGTTTCGGTATCGGACATGAAAAAGTGGTATCGTGCCATCTCTAATCCTTACTACACAATAACATGTTGACCATTTCAAAGAGATTTCAAATATCATATTTGGCATTCTCTGCTTTTGAGAAAACACAACTTGCTGGACAAAATTTAAAAATAAAAAAATAATAGACATACCTAAGATGAGCTATTACCTTATATTTTACCTTATAAACGTCTTTAAACGTCACGTTTTGTTTGTTATGCAACCTTCTTGAAATGATGATTGTTTCACTGTGAGGCAGACATTTCGTTTTTTTTAAACACATATGCAGTTTGTGAATAAATGTGTCAGTGAGCCCAGTCATACATATACAACAACGACGAGGCAGCTAATCTCCTAAAGATGGCAACAACAGCCCAAATTACAGAAAACTCTTTGGTAAGCATGACATTTAGTGTGTTAGTGGGAAGTTTATATTACTCTTAAATTAACTAATGTTTCAGTAACACTAGGGAAATCCATGGTGTTTCCCAAAATTAATCTGAGCGTGTGCAAAGAACTTGCAGCTGAGTTGGATTTGAAATGGTTGTTTCAAAAGCATTAATCAGGTCTGCGATCACTGGCAGTTACTTGCTGCATCAACATGATGATAAAAAAGCAATAAGATGGAAGCTGCGGTCAGTTTGTGACAGAATGAGATCAAGTTGGCAATAATATGCAACCGATTTGTGATAAAGCAGCAATTAACTGACATAAACCAGGAAAAACTGCAAATCTGTTACCATCAATTTTTACAATTCACATTAAAAACAAATTCATATTAACTATTTATGGAGTTAACAAATATTTAGAAATTGCTCCAAAATAGAAATGTAGTTGCTGCAGAATGGCAACCTTGCTTTTATATAAGAATAGAGCCAAAATGCAACCAGTTGGATCGACTCCCCTACTGCAAAGAGTTGTACTCCAGATAAGGTGCTGCGCTCATCGGCGCACACGGACTCTAATTAATCCCAACATGATGGCAATCTGACTGCATTTATACAGCAGATGGTAATTATTTGTCTGCCACTTTATTTGTTACTCTGTGTGTGACTGAGCCATCGCTGAAGTATGGCAACACATTATGCACCATTGTATCACAATAGAGCAATTTTGATATTTACACTGCAAAGCTGTTAATTTTATATCAGTTCAGTTAATAAGCTCTGATGTAGTGATTGTAATGATGATGGTAAAGAAGTGTTTTAAGGCAGCTATGGGAGGGAATCCACTTAAAGCATCTTAATCATATATGGATATTTGGCAACAGGAAATAAAATTAGATAAATATCAAAACAAAATACATTTGTGGCAAATATAAATACCGGTATTAACCGTGTACGGTAAAACCTTTAGGTAGCAAATAGATGTTAACATAAAGACATAATTGTAGAAAAACAGGCAAAACATAACCCCCCTACTATTCTGCTCACAGAACAAGTGGGTACTATAGGAGCTGTTCAATTACATCACAAACATCTAAACCTTTGTAATATCAGGCTGACATCACAGGTCAATGTTATTAGAGGGAAAAGAAAAAAAAGACATGGCTGACATCCTCGACCAGACACCATTTCAAACCACTGAACTGCAATTATGGAGCAGTAAGACATAATTTCCTCAGTAAAATCCACTTTCTTCTCACAAATATAATTACAGGCAGTCACTGTGGACAACAGCATTACGTCTTCTGGACTAGGAAGCTTTCACAATGTGATTGTTATTTGGTTAAAGAGGTTAAATGATCACAAAACAAACATAAAAACAACTTCTGAAAGTGGCTTATTTTTTTGTAATATCTGTATCTATTTAAAAAGAAAAAAATTTGAGTTGAAATGGTGAGTATCCATTTAAAATAAAATAAAAAGCTCTCTTAAACTGACCACATTGCTTGTTATTAGTCAGTCTAACGTTAGTTCTAAAGTTTACTTCGGGAACTCTGACAGTAGAGCTTTGAGTAGATTTAAACCTTTAAATCCCTGCTCTGTTGGAAAAGCTTAAATAATGCGGCTGTGTTTTTATTTTCCCCTCCAATATTAAATAGAGATAATCTGACCAGATGATCTGAGAAGAACAAATGCTCTTTGACTTCTGAAACATGTGCTAGACCTTTCACAGAAAAGCCATTAAATTAAATACAAGGAAAACCTCAACCTTAGATGCCTTTCTAAGTTACACGTCTCCTTGGATTTAATATGTTTTTAATGTAAATCTTTACTAGAAAGCCAACAGAAATATCTAAACTGTGTTCGATATGGCTTTATTGTCTGTACAATGCTGCCCTCCTCTGGAGAGGATCTGAAGTAACTTGACTCTTACTAACAGCAAAGCTGAGGAGGGAAAAATGTTGAAACTGACAGTTCTCCCAGAACTTTTCACAAGGGAATCTAGCAGCACACTGACAGGATGCCCTTATTACCACAGAATACAAATATGTTTCATGCTGTAATCCTACTTGGCACACAGTGTGGAAAATTACTTTGAAAGAACGCGGCTTATGTATACAGCCTTTTTTTCACCACTGGCTGTTTTTGCCAAGGCAACAGCTGCACAAATATTGGATTTCTATTGTCTGATTTCATTAACAACTACAGCTTTATTGAATTGCAGTGCTGTGCAAAAGACTTGAGCCACCACTCATTTCTTTATTATTTGCTTCCAGTGAATCAGGCTTTCTTGTAATTTTTTAAAGTGGTCTTGAAAAATAGTTGTCCCGTCTTTCTGATGGTCTTTCAAAGTTTTTCTCTGGACATTGGCAGCTTTTTCACTAATTTTCAGTCCAGTCCTTGTACCTGATTATTTTCAGAGGAATGATTTTTTTTGTTTCTCAAACCTTTTAACACTGAAGTACAAATCATTCACACACTCAAAAGGCACCTAACTAAAGGGATTAACCAGTGTGTTTTGTCTACATATAACAGACAACTTAGCCAAGAACCAATTTTAAATTGTATCTTTAGAAACTTTGTTACTGGCAGCTTGTAACAAAAAACACAATTTGTTTCCGTTTCTTTGTCTGAATCTATTAAAAGTGCCAAAAATAACACAGACTGACACGTATAAAATAATATTTTTGTTCCAACAAGGTTGATTTCTAAAGAGCTATTAACCTTCTATATCTTGGTATGGTGTGCAGTGCGTCCTTAAAAGAATTTGAGGAAAGTGGACAAGTGGAGGACAAATAAGAAGAGACAGGCCTTAAAAATATATATATAGCAGATGAATAGTATCTGGAAGTAATTTCCTTAAGAAACTGGAAAAAATTCCACCAGAAACCAGACACAGAACATCTGGCCCTTCAGTTTATCAATCTACTGTTCACTGAAGTCTCATCAAAAATGGTCTCAGTAGAAGGCTGTCTTTCAAGTAGCCATTATTAAGGAAGGAAAATGAAGACAACACACTGAGGTATCCCAGATTGCACAAGAAGTGGACTGGTAGTCAGTGACAATGGGCACTATCAGTTAGGCACTGGCCTCACCATAGCCCAGAGATGACAAACTAAATTTACATTGAGGGCCACATACAGACCACTTTGATCTTCAGTGGGCCGGACAAGTGAAACGCCACTTTCTGTCAGCGTAAAGATGGTTAACTACACATTTAATGCCTGAGATATCTTAATATATAAAAGAAATGCAATTTCAGGAGCACAATTCAGAATTGTAGAATTGCAGAAAAGGTTCTGGTAGCTCACTGCCCATACTGTTCCATATTTATAAAACCTAAACGGTATAAAAATACAGTTAAGTCCAAAAATGAAAATACACATTTTCCAAAGCAATCAAGGGAGCTGGATTGGAGTTTTTGCTGGGCTGTGTTGAAAAATAAAGGCGATCATACCATATATTTACACTAACGATACAAACTGTTTCTGTCCTATATAATGCATTTCCATTTATGTTAGCACGTTTCAATAAATCGCCACAACCATTTCTAAGGCTACGTTCACACTGCAGGTCTTAATGCTCAATTCCGATTTTTTGATCAAATCCGATTTTTTTGGCTGCTTGTTCACACTACAAATAAAATGCGACAGCAAACGCTCTCTAGTGTGAACCAGTCATTGGTGTGAACGCTCAGAGCGGCCCGCATGCGCAAAAGAAGATGTCACACACAACGCTTCTCCGGCGCTAATGCGACATGACCATTCAAACAGCAGTCGCTTTCTAAAACATCCTTTATGTATCGGATTCAGTAGCACATACGAAAGTGACCCAGATCGAATTTGTGCCGTTCACACTGTCATACCATGATCGGATATGGGTCGCATAGGGTAAAAAAAAAAATCGGATTTGATGCGCTTTCGCCTGCAGTTTGAACGTAGCCTAATTTTCCAAGCTAAGGGTAAGGAAATAATAAATGACAAAAAATAAGAGGTGGATCAAAACATTTGCACAGTACTGTGTGTTAGGGTGACCATATTTTGATTCCCAAAAAAAGAGGACACTTGGCCCAGTTTCTGTGTGCCTGTCAGAATGTGTTTGCGCCAAGCACTCTCACCTGCCATGCTCAGCCAGCAGGGCACCCTCCTCCTCCAGTCTCTTGCTCTTGGCAGCACAGTCCTCCAGCAGGATCTCCCGCCGTCGTTTGATAGCGTGCAGCCAATCCACCTCGGGGTCCTGACTTGGCCCATCATCCACAGCTTTCTCCGCTTCTGCCTCAAACTGCTGCACCGCTGACTTGGACACCTTCTCCCCAACTTTCCTCTTCCAGCCAAATGACGCCATCCTATATGGGAAAAAAAAAACCGGAATACGACGCGTGGTGGCGGTGGTCACTTATCATATATATGCTCGATTTCAGCTTTAATCACGACTGAGAGTAGTACAAAAATGTACATTATTATTAATACTATTATGAGCGCAAGTCTGGCCTGCTTTTGCCATCTAGATTCGTATACATGGCCGCTGAATGAGTTTCCAAAATACCGTAGCAGAAAGATTTCTATTTTATTTTGGATATTTAACGTTTATTATGGCAATAACATCCCCAAAACTCGCTAGAAAAACAAATTAAACTTCGTCATACTGACGCCAGCTAACGTTAATTCGGGCAACTCAGCTAAAACTTGCAATTAAAACTTGACATGCCAGTAGGCTTGCCTACATAAAATTAACTTCTTTTAATTTTGAAGGTATGTATTTATACTTCGTTATTTTAGAACAAAGTGGGGACATACGCACATTCATCCACGGCTTTCCACGAGCAACAGTGGATAAGCTGCAGTTAGCTAATCGTTAGCCACATTTGTTGACCTTCACGTTGCGTTCAGGTCTTATCGGTTTAAAGCCAACACCCCATCGTAAATACTGGAAAATTTGACAGCGGGGGGGTGAAATCAGCCCGTTTTTGCACAATTCATGCAGTTTCTTTTGGTAAGTAAATATCTCCAATTGAAACTACAGACGTGAGGGAACAAAAGTGTAAACTTTGCGTTAACACTGGTGAACTTTTCGGAATGAAATGTGTACGCCCCTTCTTTTTTTTTTGTTTTAACTTTGCCTTGAACCGGTCCAACCCCCCTCCCATTCTGTGGAATGCGCGTGAATGCAGCATGACCCGGAAGTTGTGAGAATGTTTACAGTCTTTTAAAGAAACATGAACCGTGTTTTAAATCTTTTAAAGCGCACGAAAATCAACGTGAAATCAAAATCTGTTAATATAGAATTTAAACGACAAATATATGAAATTTTAATAAAATTACCGATGCCTGCGATCACATTCCAAAATACAAGTCTAATACTATTGCTTTAAACAGAAAAGCTTAGTATGGTAGTGGTAGATTTAATATTCTATATATTCTTCACAGTATGTTTCAGGTAAACAACAAACAAACAAACAAACAAACAAACAAAAAAGTCAAACATAAATGTGCATTTTAGCAGTTTATTATGCAGTTGTGTATATAAATGATTCAATACTGTCCATTCAGATTTACACTAATCAGTCTGGTTGGGTCCCCTTACACACCAAACAAAAACAGAACAATTATTCTTTGAAGCAGATGAAACTGATGCTGAACTCAGACCACTAGGACAATACTCCATCAGAGGCAAAAAGAAAAAAAACAAAACTTTTTTGCACACATTCTTTCAAAATGTATCAAGCAAGCCATGAAAAGCAGTTTATAACCAGAGGTTGCAACTCCTCCCCCCCCAAAAAACAAAACAAAACAAAAACCCCACCATAGTGTTTGTGCCTTTACCATGATCCATATATTTTGTCTGTGAGACATGAAGGTCAAATGTGGATATGAACAAAAGATGTAAGTTGGTCACAATTATCGTCACTCCTGAATTACCTCTGAAAAGTAAAATGCTCATACAACAGATAGTTCAGATTGCTGACATTTGCTAATAAACATGTCAGATTATAAGATTCTGACTTTACAGCAAGGGCATACAAATACTTTAATTCAAATAAGAACCACCCCCCCAAATTATCTTAAAAGTTTGATTTAACTTGATCCTGTTGACATCGTTTTAAAGATGGCAGTAGTTACTGATGTCTATAAAAAGATGACAATCAGATCTTTTAGGTTTTTGCAGTTAGAATTTTTTCCCTTTTTGGTAATGCAAAACACCTAGAAAAATGAATAAACCAACCATAAAGAAAGTGTAATTAGATTATTTTAATCCTCAAAACCGCAAAAACAGCACCAAGAATTCTGACCGGCACAATTTCCAACTTTTACTGACATAAAACTGATAAACAGTACTGATAATGATAAGGCAGCCAAACAGGCATAACTTAAAACTTTAAGACCACGGAGAGGCAATGGATAATGAGATACATCACACTTATAATCAAAGACATATCCAACTCTACTTTGTGAGCCTGCAAGTTACCAGAAGTGCGATCTACCTCCCCGATCTATGTCATTCAAAGCTCGTAAGTCTGTTTCAGGTTTAAAAACATAAAACCTTTAACAAGGTCAAACTTCAAGGGAATGTACAGGAAATTAAAACATGTCCAAAAATGACATTGTGGATGTATTCACTTCCCAACAGACATTGTCCACGCGCTGCATGTAATTGCTACTACTCACTGAGCCCTGAGGCCTATTCATGTGTGATGGCATTTACAAAACAAATGTAGGCAAAAGGCATTTCACTTGGTAATCATACTGAAATCGTATTCATTAATCTAAAACAAAAACACTAAAGAAATAAGAGAAAATAAGTAAAAATCAACTTGTCATTCTAATGCGACATGGAAAGTTATAGTTCTAGATTTTGACTGTCGTGGCAAAAAGCTGTCTAAAGTTAAATACAAAGACAATCGTGTATCAGAATAACTGATTGAATGAAATAAAATTCATTATGATTACAAGCCAGACTGTTAAAAAAAAAAATATATATATATAACATCCAGCAATAGATCTTATTGCAAGAAAGAAAGAAAAAAAAAATCAATTTCTTTTACAACCAACACTCCACCTACTTAATGCACTGATAAATATGTTTACGTCTTTATATATAAAAAGGTGGGGGACAGACAAATTCAAAAACACATTTTTACAACAGGACAAAACCATGAAATTTAGTCTGACAATTTCTTAAAAAGAATTAAAAAAAAAATAATAACAATAATAATAACCCAACATAAATTTGATGAACGCATTCTTTAGTCCCTGACGCAAGACAGAAATACAGGAGTCACAGAACTTCTTCAGACTCCAATGAATGTGATGGGTATGCCCACCCTAGTTATATATAACGCTTCGGAACATGTGCACCAATTCTCAGATCCCAACTCAAAACAACCAAAAAAAAAAAAAAAAAAAACTCAAAAAAACCCCAACAGCAGCAGGAAATAAAAGAAACTTGTGCAAAAGTGCTTCCTGCATCCCGTGACTGCCACCCAAACCCCCAACCTCCATGTGTGGCTTCCTTTTGTACAGGTAAGAATGTGATTTTGCTCTCTGTACTGAAAAGCAGTGCTCACCTGACTACAGTACAGAAAATTCAGTGTAATCACTTGCGCATATGTGTAGTTGGGATGTAGACGCTTGCTATTAAGTTGTTCAGGAAATTGTAAAACCCTCGTTCCTAAATGTTCTGTCCTAGCTAATTAATCAGCTAGTCATTTGTCTTTCCCCCAGTAACCCTTTGCATCCCCAGTCAGCTCAGTATACATCCCTTCAGCTTAGGGAACACCAACCTGCATCAGTGCCATGGAACAATCACTTCATCCTCAGCCGGGATGAACTGAGCCACGATTCAGTTGCATGCTTATTGCTATAAAGACACTCAGAGGGAGAAAAAGGCTAGCGATTGTTTTGCGAGCTATCGTGCAAGTAGTTTAATAAGATTTGCACACATCTCAAAGAACTCGATGGTGTGGCTTCCTGGTCGAGGGACAGATGCATTGTCCCCGCCTCCTGTGGAATCGATGGATGAGGTCAACGATGACGTCAAAGAGCCTTCTCCAGTCTTGGTCGGGTGCACGGTACTAGGTGTACCTGGAAGCTCTGCTCCATCTACATCGTTCTTAATAGCGGTCCGGTAGTTGCCCACAGAGCCAGAGCGCAGAGGGGTAGCACTTCCAGATTTTGTCTCCAACATATCATCTGAACAATAAGACAAACTGATTTTCAAACACAAGAAGTTCAATGGGTATCACTAGGGTATCTACAAGTCTTGGAAAATACTCAATTCAATTCCTGCCACAGAGACACTGCTGTAAACAGTGAAATTAATCACTAGCTTATACTTAGTAGATTGTTTAGGTTAGGGATAAAGTGTAAGATTTTTGTAGTCAAAAATAAAGATTCTTTTCTTCCTTTTAACCTAATAAACTGTAATATAGATATTGCACTGCGGACACCCAGATCATCCCGACACCCCGAGTTTGAACAATTTTGGGTTCAGTTCATGAAATATGCACAAGCCAAAGCAGCGTTCACCATTTCCTCTCAAAGCAGCTGTGGCTACACAGTCCATGGCTCTAACACCCACTAGGGCTGCCACAAACGATTATTTTGATAGTCGACTAGTCACCGATTATTTATGCGATTAGTCGACTAATCAGATCATCATCCACTGGACGTAAAACTACAGCTTATTGCACCAGCAGCATCTGCTCTTATATAACTATCATTAGCTTACAGCTTTAAGCTTTTAAGGTGCTAACTAAAAATAAAGACAAGATGATAGTTTATTCAATTTTAATGAAATTTGCAGATTGTTTCGGTAAAGTTTAATAAACTCCTTGCTATCTAAAATATAACAGGACACCGGAGTATATTCTCCAGCATCTCACACTTCTGATAATCAGCTGTCTGCTTGACGTTTATTCAGCTGTGTAAAAACTATAACTTTAATCTCAGCCAAACCGATTTACTCAGGAACAAATAAAATACTAAAAAAAAAAAGCCAAACAATCAACATTTTTAATTTATCTAAGTGACTCATATATATGTTAACCTGAGTAGCGAAAGACGGCGGTGGGTTTGAAAACGATTTGCCGGGAGTCCGGTGTTCTCACGGCGCTAGTGACCTAGCCCCCGGCTAGCTATCGAGCTAGTGGGTAACAGACGTCTCCGAAAACGTCGGAGCGCTTTTGAAAATATGTGGTGTCCTGATAAACTGAGCAGATATTTGAGGTTTACACAGCTACATTCTCGCCTGAAAATATGTTAAACGTTTATTTTGTGACCCAGAAAGAATAATAAGAGTAATATTAAAACTAACTAGCTACCGCCATTGTTGGAAACTAAGCTGGGCCGCGCTATGAATTCTGGGACACAGCTGCTTCTTCTTCTTCGGGGTTTAACGGCAGCTGGCATCCTTGTACATGCAGTGCTGCCATCTTCTGTTTCAGTCCGTTATTACACTCTTAAATCCTGCTATTATTCCTGCGTCTTTTGCGATCTTACAAAGCTTCAAACGACACGTCGACTATTAAATCAGTCGTCGACGATTTTGATAGTCGACGTAATCGTGACTAGTCGACAAATCGTGGCAGCCCTAACACCACATACATCTCTGTTCACTGACTTCTTCTTAGCCACCATTTACTGAGATAAAAAGCCTTTGGTTCATGAGGGGTTGACCAGTAAACAAATTTTAATATAAGCTATTCGGCTTTCTAAAATGAACATATTCTAAATGCAGCTATATTTGCCGGTGCATGACCTGCCTCCTATGAATGTGGTTATGCATTTTGTTAGTACCAGTTTTAATGCTGGAAACAGACTGCATACAACTGTATTTTAATTTTCTCGATCAAAATACTGCTGACCATGATAATTTTATGAGATTACTGCAGTCCCAATGTCCACTTTGCTTGGTCAAATTATTATAATCTGGGGTGTTAGACACACACTTGCAGTGACAGGAGGTGTCAAACAGTCAAGGTCTTGAGCCAGCCCTCATTTCTTTATAATTTGCCAGGAAAAATAGCTGGAACTATTTGTTTATCTCTTGAGCTCGGTCCCTTTTCTGTGATTGAATGAGTCACAGGTTAGTGTTAAATGGCTT